GCGGCAGCAGCGGCATTACGTGGAGAGCCACGAGCCAGCTGCCCCCCAGGACAAGCCCCTGCAGTGCCCCTTCTGTGACTTCGCCTGCTGCCACCAGCTCGTCTTTGACCAGCACATGAAGGGCCACGGGGGCACCCGCGTGTACAAGTGCTCGGACTGCGAGTACACCACCAAGAACAGGCAGAAGATCACGTGGCACATCCGCATCCACACCGGCGAGAAGCCTTACAAGTGCCACCTCTGTAAATATGCCTGTGCCGACCCCTCACGTCTCAAGGTGAGAGCCCTGCTTGGGGATGGGGATATATCCTACTGCATCTACATGGGTTGGCGGGGATCCAGATGCGGGGATTTGGGAAAGAAGAAACTCCCAAGGGGAAGTTTTGTCCTCTCCTCTTCTCTGTCGCTCCTACAGGAATAGGAGGCAAGCAGGTAAAACTCATGTGGGTACAACATGTTTCTGTCCTAAACCCTGCTCCCTGCTGTTGCAGATTAAGGGGAAGAGGGATTTGTAGCAAAGCAAGAAGGTGGGCAGCTGTCCAGGTTCACTCCTCTTCTCGCTGACATCTCTCATGTCCTCTGGGTGCAGCCAGCCATGCCTCTGTCAGAGGGCAGCCTCACACCGCTCGAAACCAAGTTTGGCTGCCTGCTGGCTAGCAGCGTGCCCTGTGACACTAGTTAGATGTGGTGCAGGGAAACCTCAGCTTCCCTGCAAACAGAGCCAGACCCTGCCCTCATTTCTGTAGGTAATTAGCATCCTCATGCATCGTAAAGGGCCTTTTCCTAGAACAGGAGGGCCAGGCGTGGGGTAATGGAGGGGGAAATGGTCCGGTTTTGCTGAAAGAAATACTGACTTTTTTTTTAATGGCCAGGCTAGCTGGAGCCCTCTGGGGCTGCTGGGGTGAGGCTGCGCAACATGCTCAGCTCGGGGCTAGCTCTGTTGGGCTGGGTTTTAACCTGGACTTTGCCCTAAATACCAAACTGGGGAGGAAAGCCTGTCTCCCTCCACAGGCTGGGACAGACCAAGCTCAGCAGTACAAAGGTCTCATCCTGACCCCACTGTGGATCCCCCCCTGCCCGTAGTCTGCCAGGCAAGCAGACAGCCCTCCTTGCCCCACGCAGTTTGAGATGTCAGCACTGTCTTTGAGGCCCTCTCTGGCACCCCAGAGCCCTGCATGTTTGCAGGGCAGGTGGCATGGCCTCATCCTGATCCTGCCTTCTTGCCCTGTGTCCAGTACCACATGCGGATCCACAAGGA